TATTCTATTGCAAAAGCCGGGAAAAATAATATATTTCGTTTTTACTTCAGTTAATATGGAGACGAACTGTGTTCACAGAAAGGGGAGTTAAACACAAAATAACTTTTTCCTTATTTCTCTAAGATCAGACTTGGTTCTTGTACACTTGATGTTAACTTTTAGATTTATTCAATTTCTCTTAAGGAGCATAAGCAAACATATAATCAACGCTTTTTTCCTTCGTTATTTAGTAAGTTAGTTATTGACACTGCCATAAATATAAATAATGAACTATTCCGTTTTCCCTGTGAAAAGTAGGAAGAAAAATATATGAGAGACGCTGTTTGATTTTAATGAGAATAAGGAAGTATGCATAATAATACAAAGGAAAAAAAGAATACATAAAAGGCGATCATGCTCTCATGCGTTTAACGTCTCTTTCAGTGAAATAGAAAACGTTGTCAAGTTTGAATGTTTTTGTACCCTCTTAATTCTTGGAATAATGACCTACCTCCATACTTACTAGTTTTATCCGTGAAATTTCTGATGAATCTTAATTCTTCAGTTTATTATTGAATAAGCTCATGTCGAAGTCTACGACAATAAATTATCCGTAGGAATTCATCTATCGTATTGTTAAATATTTGAGCATAGCAACTTTAAGAAAATATTGCAATAAAAATCATAAATGTGAATGATGGTCATTATTTTAAGAAATGGATAGAAATGAAAAGATTTGAAATTGAATTTTTTTTTTCCATTTCACTAAAACAGATATTGAGCACTTCTATCTTCTCTTCTTTCTTTCATTTTCTGAGTGAAACCAAGTAGCGTCTTTGGTATGTCATTTGTCTTTCCACGCGATCAAAACAGAATAGTCCATTATTTATGAGGTATTGGCAGGACGTAACGGTTGTGTTAACTAACGAAGGGTGGGAGAGCACAATTATTATATGATGATTGTTAAGCTTAATTAACGATGCAACAGTGTCACGAGTATTTTATATTTTATAGTCTTTGAAATCGCAATGAGCTTATCTAATCATTAACTTTAGGATTCAGATTCATCCGAAAATTAAAGTAGGAAATCTGTGCAAAAATAATCGGTAATTTATGATAGTAAAAAGTATTTAGCATATATTTAATAAGCTTATTTTTTCTCCAGGCAAAAGAAGGGAGCGGAATACTTTATGAAGAAAAAAAAAGTTGATAACGTTTAAAATGATTTGGAAAATTATCTTGAGAAACATCATTGTCGTACAAAGCGATGTGTCTTCTCCAGAACAAACGAATTTTACATTTTCAGGGTAAAAGCTGATTATTTTCAGGTAAACTTAAAAATATTCCCAAGAAAAATTGTTGCTATCAACAACCCTGAAAAATTTCTTTGCGTACGCCTACGGGTGTTTCGGCAAACGGAACTGAAATTTGTGGATGTGTCCTCTTCATTATGGGATTGACCTGCGAACAATCGATCTGCATTACATACCATTTTATGTGCCGGGTTTCTTCAGGGCACGAACAAGCATGGCTCTCCACAACTTCCTGTTTCCTTCTGTCCCTCTTCAAATAAGTATGTCCTCTGAGTTTCAAATTCTCTAAGCCCTCTTTCCTCATTATGGGACCTAAAATATGAAATTATACGGCAGGGATTGAAGAACCGGAGAGCCGTGTTCGAATCCCAAACGAATTCATTACATCGTCGCACGTATAAATACTCTTGGGAAAGGTGTGAATCCATCTCCCCACCAGCTATGGGTAAATAGTAAAACGGACTGGGATTGACATTTCGCACGCCGCCACACTCCTGTTTCTCCGTCCCTTCACAGATGCTGGTCAAATAAGTGACTCGTTGCCTTCCCAAGTCACTTTTATTTTTTATATGTCTTGTGAGTGTCAAATTCTCCAAGAGCTCTTTCCTCAGTATGCCGGCTATAAATTTCAGCTGTCTTTCTGATTTTGAGCATGTGTCCTTTTTGTTGCCATTTTCCTTAAGACTCCTTCGATACTTACACGCTCTGTTCCTGTATTTCTCATCATCCTTCTGTAGAACCAAATTTTTCTTGCCTCCGTAAAAAACAATGCGTAGGATTTCAGTTAAAGTACTGATATTTTTTACTTGCGTTAAAATCATCTGCATTCTTATACATTTATATAGGGGTGTTGTAACAAAATGGCTATTTTCGTAGTGATTTTATAACATATTCATGTTATAATTTTTTTTTTTAAATAATTATATCAGCTCTACTTTGTATTGAGTACTCTTTTAAGAATAGTAATTGTTGGTTATTGGAATTCATTCCGTATATACCAATTATATACTTGGTATATATATATAATTCATTTATTTTTATATATATATATATATATATATATATATATATATATATATATATATATATATATATATGAATGTTTCATTAAAGACAACAGATAAGGTACTATAATGAAGTTTTTATTTAATTTTTCTTTACTGGACACAGAGTGTATAGAAACTGTCCAAATTTTCTATAATTCCGAG